TATGAGTGACAGGAGTGACGTGGGACAATTGTCACACTGTCCTATCACTCTGGGTTTTCCCATTCTTGCATTATTTCAGTGCCATATGCTATTTTGTGATTGGAGGAAAGGTAGGCTTTTAAGTTCTGCTTGTTGCTTTCAAATAAGTATCAGCCAGCACGTTATGGGATATTTTTTAATCCACATTTTAATTATGAGAGTAGTCTAGAATTAACCTTGTAAAATATGTTCCTAATATAGTTGAGAAGGTATGGTAATATCTGAGAAAAAAATTTCATGTTAGTATCCTAATCTAGTCAGTTGAACATGGTATAATGTGCTGTTTTCCAAGTGGGTGGCTGTCAAGAAACTGGAAAATAAGGGATCGTGGTTTTGGTTGCCCTATTAAAACACAGTCCTGTTACCTTATGCCTAGGATGAACAAGCCAGGAGAGAGGCAAGAACATTAGAAGGCCATACCATCTGGCCTTATCATTATGAGAAAAGAATCTCTAAGGCAGTGGTCAGGGAACAGGGGAAAATTACCCCAAATGGGGTAGAAATGAAAATCCTGGGGGTAATGAGGACGTGACCCTAACCCCCTTCCCTCCTCCTCCTCCTCTGCCCGGAAGGGCGTCACAGGCTGACTGATTGCCCCCTTTCTGTCCCCTTCTCCGGCCTGGCTGCAACCGAGCCATGGTGAATGGTGGCCAGTGACAGGCCCCACTTGGCAGCATACGGCAGCCACGGCGGCGGCAGCACGGCCGGCCATGGTGGAGCCTCTCCTTCCAGTGCCTGGAGAGGTGGAACACGGTGAAGGAGGCGGGCATGGCCACAACAGCGGCCTAGGCCAGGCTCAGCCTTCCGGTGCCGGGGCGCCACCCGACGCTCCATCCCCGTCTGAGCCCATCAGGCAGCAGTGGCGCTCGCCCGGCCACATGGCTTCCTTTGGCGATGTCTCCATGCTGGCCAGCTGGGCCTGGTGGAGCCTCTCATCCTCCGTGCAGCAGCTGTCATGGTGCTTCAACGGTGAGGCCCATGGGAGCCCTGACTGAGGTCCGATGTGACCGCCCCAGTGAGCAGGAGCCGATGTCGGAGCGGGAGGTGGCATCTGACACCCACAGCAAGTGAGCCACCTGCTGCTCTTTGACAACCACCAAGGAGCCACCTGCCAATGGAGAAAGGGAGCCACCCCCATGGGGCCAAGGACTGAGCACGGCCCTGCCAGGTGGAGGAGGCAGAGGCGGCCTGGGTGTGGGTGGCAATGCTTCGGCGATGGCACTCAACTGGCCACGCGTGACCTAGATCCTTCCTTTCAAATCAAGGGGGTAATGTCGGCGTATATAAATTTTTAGGGGGTAAAAGGTAAAAAGGTTCCCTGACCCGACCTCTAAGGCTTCCACTCATTCCCTGGTACAGAGCTAATTAGTACACTCAGTCCTTAATACAGAGCTAAGAATGGTTTCAGCTGAAAAGAAAGAAGGGGAAGAGAAGTTATTTTTGAGATGTTACTCTGTTCTTTGAAGTTTGGGGTGATTTGATGCCTGATTGGAGCATCCTTTCAAATAATCTGGAAAGGGAGTGATGGGTATACAAAGTAAGAAGGAAAGTTACTTAGTGTAGCTTTGCCTTTTTGCCCTTTTCTTGCAACATCTTTAATAAAATGTTTCCACTCACTCTCTGGTACAGAGCTAATTAGTACACTCACTCCTTAATACAGAGCTAAGAATGGTTTCAGCTGAAAAGAAAGAAGGGGAAGAGAAGTTATTTTTGAGATGTTACTCTGTTCTTTGAAGTTTGGGGTGATTTGATGCCTGATTGGAGCATCCTTTCAAATAATCTGGAAAGGGAGTGATGGGTATACAAAGTAAGAAGGAAAGTTACTTAGTGTAGCTTTGCCTTTTTGCCCTTTTCTTGCAACATCTTTAATAAAATGTTACAACAACTTGGTTATATTTGGGAGCAGCAGGTTTGTTGGTATTAAGAAGGGCCTTGCCTCATTCATCTGCTGAATACGCTTACATTTTATGGGTGTTTTGATATTACTGTTTTGCAGCATACAAATCAAAAGAGCTTTACCTTGTGGATTTTTTGGTAACTACCTGGAACACTGAATAATCAGAGAGACTCAAAGTGTTGGGAGTGGTACTAGGCAGAAAGATTTTCCCCAGCCATCAGCATTAAGAAGGGCCTTGCCTCATTCATCTGCTGAATACGCTTACATTTTATGGGTGTTTTGATATTACTGTTTTGCAGCATACAAATCAAAAGAGCTTTACCTTGTGGATTTTTTGGTAACTACCTGGAACACTGAATAATCAGAGAGACTCAAAGTGTTGGGAGTGGTACTAGGCAGAAAGATTTTCCCCAGCCATCAGCATCTGGCCCTATCTGGAACACTGAATAATCAGAGAGAATCAAAGTATTGGGAGTGGTACTAGGCAGAAGATTTTCCCCAGCCATCAGCATCTGGCCCTCCAGGAAACTTGCCAACACCAGAAATCGTTTTAGATACCAAACAATCTGTATGTAATGGTGCAGCTATATCCCCAGACTAAAATCCAGTCCTTCACAGGGAATAAAATGTCCCAAAGAGCAGCCACTAGCTGCATATTGGTAACACCTCAGTCCTCATCTCTGGATAATCTCTCCTAGTGGTTTCATGTAGATGTTAAACAGGATGAGGCCTAAAACAGAGCCCCTTGGAACCACATAGCAGGACCTCCAAGGAATCAACGATCCAAGTAGGAGCAGAACCATGATAGCATAGCACCTCCAGTACCCCCACCCAGACTGCCTATCCAGTTTTTGGGCATGTTTTTGAAATTTCAAATCAGCCATGTTCAAGAGAATCAGCTAGATTACCTCTCCCTATCTCTCTCTTAGCAAATGCCATGCCACGAGGAGATTCAGTATACCACACAAAGCAAGTTTTGATAAATAAAACCATCATTAAATACTCCACTCCCCAAGTCAACTAAACCAGAGCACAGAGTGCTGTCCTCTGAAGATGCCGGCCACAGAGACTGGCGAAACATTAGGAAGAACAGCCTTCAGAACCAAAGAGCCAAAGAGCCAGAAAAACCCACAACAACCATTAGATCCCAGCCATGAAAGCCTTCGCAAATACAATGAAACCATCATTGTTGTTTAGTTTTATTCCACAGTGTGATGTTTATGCTCTTGTTAACACATTCTATGATTGCTGAGTTTTGTATTAGATTTGGTAGCCATTCTAAGTTCTGTGAGTGTCAGATTAAAAATATGTGAGTCGTGATCTCCATAAAATATGGAGTCGTGATCTCCATAAAGTTATTGCTTGTTTCCTTATAAACCAGCAAGAGAAGCACATAGGACTAGATGAAGAAGAAATATTTATAAATTGTTAAGAAACAAGGAAATTTTTGAGTTTACTAGAGATTATCTTTGAAAAAAATCCACATCTGAAATATTATTTTGGAAAATGTATTTTGAGAAATTCTGTCAAATACATTTTATAAGCAATGATTTTTCAAAATTAATTGACATTTCAAATTAATGGCAGTTCACACAAAACTTACATTTGAAAATAAAAGAGTTTTATCTTTAACATTAAATATGTACTTTGTTTCTAAAAAGTACACAGGTTTTTTATTGACAGATTAGAATGTAGCAAATTTGGGGAGGATCTATTAATTAAATGTACCAGCCTAAGCACTACCACAAATAAGATTTATTGTTTTCGTGGTGGTTGTTATGTGCTATCAAGTCATCTCCAACTTAAGATGACCTTATAAATGAGAGATCTCCAAAATGTCCTGTCCTCAACAGTGCTGCTCTTGCAGACTCAAGCCTATGGTTTCCTTTAGGGAGTCAATCCATTCCTTTTAGTGTAACAGTATTACCAGTATTACTTAGGAGTAAGAATAGCTAGTTATTTTCTTTAAAAAATACTTTTAATGGGCATTTTAAGGCATTTTTACAGAAAATTTGAAGGAATTTTTCAGATTTGTTAATATGGGACGAATTGGTCACTAAAGGAAAACAGGACTTACTTTGCTTTTTGTTTGATTATTTGATTGATTGTTTTGGCTTATTGGTAATGCCAGCACGATATGTTGATGATATGCAAAGCACTAAATTATGTGTGTAATTGGTGCAATGGTAGTAATGATGGTAATCCGAGAAATAATGACTAAGGCAACAAGATCCTTTTAAAATTTGATGTTCTGAGCTCTGGTTGTAGTTGACAATTGGATTTAGGTCTTAAATTATTTATTTTTTAATTGACATAAAGGTGACCCTGCCCCCTCTTTTTTTCTTTTTGTGGATGAAAATGTTCTGTGTCTGCTTTTAGTGTCACAATCAAAAAGTACAACAGAAGGCATCAGAAAACATTTTAAAAATAAACTGAAATGCAGCACACAGTCTCAAAATAGATGCATGTGTTGCATTTGCTGAAAATACTGATCATCTTTTAAGGATAATGGAATATACACAGTAAGTTATGCTGACTGCAGTACACTTCACCCTACTTGGATCATTTGAAAAGACCTTAGGATATGCAAAAAGGATTGTCAAGTTATTTTTTACTGTCAATAAGTTGCTTTCTCCTTCTTTTAGGCTTCTAGGGCAGATCTATTAAAGTTGTTTTAATGTAAAAGTGTAAGAAGATTTACATTCTGTATGCTACTTTTTAAAATGGCAGCTTGAAGGAATGCTGTCTCCTTGCCATCTCTGCTCCCTCTGTTCTCCAGAAACTTGCTCCAGGTCAGATCCATAGGCTTCAGGTGGGAGGAGAAGGAAGCTCCATTAAGATGGTGTTGCAACATCAGCATGACATTGGATTTAGAGTGTTATGTTTCTTTTTGCTTACTGAAGCAAACTTTCTTTCTTTCTTTAGTGCTTTGTACACTTTTTAAAATTATGAACATATATATGCAGTAAATGAAACTGTTTTGAGAAATATGGTTGTGTTTTGAGAAAGATGGCACTATGGGTGTCATTATGTGCTCAATAATTCTGTGTATTTGTCTCATTAGGTGCTGTTATATTACTTGGAAGAACAAATATGTTTCGTTTCAATCATCCCAAGGAAGCAGCCAAATTGAGGGAAAAAAGAAAGGTGAGGTTAGCTTAAAAATTGGTAAACCCATGTTATTTGTCAAGTAATGCACCTAGTTGGACATTTTACTTCAGTTCGCACTTTGATTAAAGAATATTTCAAGATGGGAATGTCTGAATAAGGTGCCAAATGTATTTTAATACTAGTAGTAATTGTTGGATTTCTTTTCTTTCTTTCTTTGTTGTTAGAGTGGATTGCTTTCTTCCTTCAGTTTATCCATGTCAGATCTTTCAAAATCTTGTGAAAACCTTTCAGCAGTCATGCTGTATAATCCAGGGTGAGTGCATTTCCAAATAGTAATATTAATTGTTTGTTTATTTATTTTGTGTATATCTCACCTTTCTCCTGGTAAAGAGACTCAAGACATAAGCTCTTGCTTACAACACCTCAAAAATGCATATGTTTAAAATCACAGTAAATTAAAATATCAATATAAAAATACAGTTAAATCCCGTTGAACCATCATCTTTACTGGTATTACATGTACCTGTATATGTACACATACACAGAGATGGGGAAGTTATTTTCTTTTTTTTAAAAAAAAACTGCAACATGAATTCTAGCATGGTCTGCATTCTGGGAGTTGTTAAAAAATGCAGATCTCCCATCACTCAGTGTGTGTTACTCTCAGTACTTGAACAGTTTTATTGACAGCATTGTTTCATGTAGATGGCCATACTAATTGTACGTGTTTGCTAAGAAGTGATGTAATATCATCACTAACTAATGACATCTGGAAAGTGAGACAGCCAGGGAATGAAGTGCTGTCCATTTATGTTTATTGCATGTTTATTGCAACTCTCCAGAGTCGACTGCAATATTACAAATTGTCTTAACAATATACAGATTTGAACCAGTGTATCAGTAAATGTACCCTTTATCTGCAGTAGTTTTGATGAGGTAATGTGTTTCTTTCAAGAGGTATGTTTTTGGATCACATTTTAACTTAACACTAAAAAGTGATACCAAAATGTTAAACCGAAAGGTAATGGAAACAAAAGTATTTTAAATCATTATTATAGAGAAATTTCCAAATAAATATACAAAAATTGAATGTATTTAGAATATAAATATTTATCTCATGCTTTATGTCATGTATTTAAGTTCTGCTATAGCTTAAAGCTTTATTATTTGTATTTCTTAAGCATACTCCTGGATGCAGTAGTTATCTGCAAAGTAATAAATTTGTACAAATTGTTATTTGTACAAAAATAGAAATGCTGGCTAGACTTTGTTATAGAAAGCTGCATGTCTCTGTGTATTTTGAACACCATTCAGTAACTAGGACCACTGAGTAACTGGACGAAGCCTGACAGCACCCATCCCTTACCTGGGAGTGTGAGGGCTGGCTGTGGGGAGGCTTCACCTAATTTCCCTCTGCTTTGTAACGCTTGATTATCATTGTTGGTACTGAATGCTGGAATTAGCTGTTCTTTGAAGTAGATGCTTGCATGCACTGGTGTAGTAGGCTCCTGATTCAAACTGTTGCTTAGAGAAGCTGGTGCAACAATGGATTTGTTGTTTTCTAATCCTTGTCAACTCCGTATTACAGAGGAGCACAGCTATATCTGTAATTTGCTTCTGTTTAGTGTCAGTTTTGTCTTTATTGTGCAGAGTAGATACATATACCCATTCAAATGTTGCAATGATCTCATGATGGATTGTCCCCAGGGTATGCATGTGTGTGACAATAATAAAACCAAGCAACATGTCCAGTTTTTCTCTTTGTCCTCTTGCTAGATTCTTCCTCCTTGCTGTGCAAACGTATGTCATCTTGCCTATGGCTAGTATGGAAAGAAAGCTGCTGCTTAAGAAATGATAAAAGACAAACATACTAAATATGATCATAATCTAATACTATCTTCAGTTTGGTCCCAATAATTTCTTTCCATGGATTGATCACCAAACATCTATGTAGGCCCATATGCTGTTCCCATGAGTGGCCAGCAGATAGTTCTGGAAAACCACAACCAAATTGTACAGACATTAGTTTTTGGTTGTCTCCAGCAAGTGGTATTGAGGACCTTATTGTTTCTGATCATGCACATTCCATTTGACCGTCCCTAATAGGTATTGTAAAAATCTTTTCAAACTCAGAAGGCTGGAATTGTCCCTCTCCAGTCATTCTGTTCTGATCAAGTGTTTGTGACTCTGTTTCTGATGCCAGTTGCACTTCAGATAAGGGAGAGCTCAGTGCAAGCCAGTTTTCAGGTTTAGAGCAAAATCAACTGAGTTATCTCCTCCTTTTTTGTTAACTCTTAAAAGCATTTGTAATAACTGGAGATTGAAACTATGATTAAAATAAGACAGAATCTTTCCTTTTAAATTACTGTTGGATGATGATGATTTTGGCCACTGTACTCTTGGTCTATCTGTTACAGCTGTTTAGATAATGCTATGGAGCTAGTTGCTGCGTTCTCTGGGGTTCCATGGGCAAATAGGCTACTGTGTGGGGATTGGGGGGAAAAAACTTATCTGGCCCTAAGAATCTTAGGAGATATTTTGTAACTTTACAGATGTGTGCGATGTTTGAATGGGAATGCTGTCTATCCTCCAGCCACCCCACCAATGTGACTCACAAAAAGAAAGTCTCTGTCCATGAGCTGTGCAACCTCTGATTGAAAGAAAAGCTCATAAAGGAAAGACACACAGCTTTATTACACTAGAAAGGAAAGAAGGAAAACTTCAGTCATTTGGAAGTGTCCTGTTATTACTTGTTTTTAATGTGAGAGCCAAAGTATCTGTAGTTCACTTCCTGTTAAATATGGGGTGCATTAAAACATTTGAACGAATTTCCTGCTCCTATGTTTTCCTGAAAAGGGCCTTCCTAAAGCATGGGAATTAGTGCAGCACAGTTTAGTGGAAGATTAGCACCACTTTGGACTCAATCTTATAAAGGCACTTGGCTGTACATGTTCATGGTCTGCAGTTAAGGTGATTTTTGTTTGTTTTGTTATGTTTTTGGTTGCATTTCACTGTAATTTACTTTCTGTACAATCTTTGCTTTACTGATGACTGTATTTCTCTCTACCTCCTCTGGCAGTCTTTTCCCTATAAAAGGACCAATTTGTCTAAGGTAGAGAAACTGAATTTCTTTACATTGATAGCTGTATCTGCATGTAACTAACTTATAGAGGCAATGCTAATCATTCATCTGTCTTGTTTAATGTTGCTCCCTTGTAACAAATCATTTTGGGGAAAAAACATCTTTTCAAAGTTGAATCTATTAAATTATAAAATGGCAATTACCATTATTCATTGGATTTTTTTTAAAGGAGTACTGTTTCTTTCTCCTACAGATTAGAATTTGAGAGACAGCAACGAGAAGAACTGGAAAAATTAGAAAGCAAAAGGTAACTGACAGGAATCTTTTACTATAAAGATGTTTGCTGATAAGTTACTGGGAAAACAATAAAAAGGAATTTTACCATTTCCTTTGCTGGAATATTTTATTGACAAATCAAATCCTACAAAATGGGAAATGAAATAGAAAGTTTTATAGTGCTTCACTAATGTACCTGCCAACCTATCAGTTCGAAAGCATATAAAAATGCGAGTTGATAAATAGGTACCATCATGGTGGGAAGGTAACAGTGTTCCATGTCTAGTTGCGCTGGCCACGTGACCACAGAAGCTGTCTTTGGACAAATGCTGGCTCTATAGCTTGGAAACAGGGATGAGTACCGCACCCTAGAGTCAGACACGACTGGACTAAATGTCAAGGGGAACCTTTACCTTACCTCTAATGTAAAATTAGGCTTGTGAGGACCATAAGCGTCCCATTGTTGAGCTGGATTGAGCACAAGCCTCCTGTGAATGAAAAGGCTGCTTTTGGCAGCAAGATGTTTCAATCCTGTGAAGCTTTTCTGCTGGTTGAAAAAGAAAGAAAGCTAAATTTTGATGGTTCCATTATTCCCCAAGTACCTTGTTTTCTTTGGGAAATGTGCTCCAAAGGACCTGAGGAGGTGGTGCTGCAGTTGGCAAAGAGAAAGTAGATTGGGAAAGATGATTCTCCTCAGTTCAAGTGGAATTCTGCTCAGAGACTCTTCTGCCAGCAATAATCTCTGGATTGAATTTAAGTGTATTTATGGATATTCTGTTCGCACTTCCATACATAGGTTTAATATTTTTCACTGAATTATTCTAAAGAATGTATTACAAATATAATATTTTTTTAAATACTAAACAGCTTTCATATTGCACAGGTATGTTGATAATGTTCAAGGCCTACTTTCCCCAGTTCCTTCACAGAAAGAAAGAAATTGTTCTTTCATAATAGAACTCTTCTGATGTAGGAAAATAGAATGAAACCAAGGCAAACATGAGTTTGTTTAGAAAGTTTACCCTCTCTTAGATACAAAATACTTTGAAAAATCAAATCTCTTTTCTTAAATATTTTTCAGAAAGCTGATAGAAGAAATGGAAGAAAAGCAGAAATCCAATAAAGCCGAACTAGAAAGAATGCAACAAGAAGTGGAGTCGCAACGTAAGGAAACGGAGATAGTTCAGCTGCAAATCCGGAAACAAGAGGAGAATCTTAAAAGGAGAAGCTTTCATATAGAAAGCAGGATGAAAGATTTGCTAGCAGAAAAGGAAAAATTTGAAGAAGAGCGATTGCGTGAACAGCAAGAGATAGAGCTCCAGAAAAAGAAACAAGAAGAAGAAATTTTTGCTAGAGTTACGGAAGAGCTTCAGCGATTGCAAGAGCTCAATCAGAACGAAAAAGCAGAGAAAATGCAGATTTTCAGAGAACTGGAAAAGCTAAAAAACGAAAAAGAGGAACAGTGTATCAAATTAGAAATGGAAAAAAAGAGGTTGGAAGAACAAGAAAGAGATCAAGTCCTGCTGGTGGCAAACTTAGAGGAGCAGCTTAGAGACAAACAAGTCATGGTGCAGCTTCTCAAAAGAGGAGACGTGCAAAGGGTTGAAGAAGAACAGAGGAACCTTGAAGACATCAGAGAGTCTCTGTTGCGCGTTAAAGAATCAAGATCTGAAGGAGAGGAAGATGGTGAAGAATTAGAAAAGATACAGCAGAATTTCATTGATTTTAAAAAGAAACAGCTAGAACAGCTAACTAGTATAGAAAGAGACTTGTTTCAACAAAGAAGTAATTTAGAAAAAGAAATAGCTGATGAATGTGAAAATCTGGAGAGTTTAAATCACACATATGCAAAGCACTTGTATCTTGAAAGAAATAATGGAAGCACATTGGAGCCTGCATTAGCTGTTGAAGAATGTAACAAAATAAAATTGGGTGAGTATAGGCTACAGTATAAAGAGCGGCAGCTCCAGTATCTGATCGATAATCATTTGCCAGCTTTGTCGGAAGAAAAGCAAAGAGCCTCTGAAGTACTTGACAGAGGCTGGCAAGGCTTGGACAATACTCTATATGAAGTTGAGAAAGAGATGGAAGAAAAGGAAGAACAGCTTGCACAGTACAAGGCCAGCACCAGCCAATTGCAGCAGCTTCAAGAAACATTTGAATTCACTGCCAACGTAGCTCGTCAAGAAGAAAAAGTGAGGAAAAAGGAGAAAGAAATACTTGAATCAAGGCAAAAACAGCAACGAGAAGCACTGGAGCAAGCAGTGGCAAAGTTAGAAAGGCGACATTCTGCTCTGCAGCGTCATTCTACCATAGAAATTGAGGAGCAAAAACAGAAACTCGCAAATTTGAACAGCAGTTGGAGTGAACAGGCAGGCTTGCAAGCTACTCTAGAGGCAGAGCAAAAAGCATTGGAACAAGAACAAGAACAGTAAGATTTAGTTTTGTCTTTAATACAAATAATTACACACTTACACGTTCATTGCTGTTTATGGAATATGTATGATTTCAGTATTACACCAGAAAGAGGCAGTCAGCCAATGAGACAGTAACTTCAGAGCTCCTCTCATTTTCAAACTATCCTTAAGTTATGAGGTAGATGTTGAGCCGGTGACCCTCATTTCTCTGCTTATTAGGATTTTGGAAGGGGAAAAAAAATCCTCTTGCTTATGTACTGCTATCGCCAGAAAGAGGCAGCCAATGAGACAGTAGCTTCAGAGCTCCTCTCATTGTCAAACTCTCCTTAAGTTATGAGGTAGATGTTGATCTGGTGACCCTCATTTCTCTGCTTATTAGGAGTTTGGAAGGGGAAAAAATCCTCTTGCTTATGTACTGCTATCCTGATAATTATCAGTACCTCCTTTATGTTCAAGATAATCAGCATGCTTGATTAATTAGAAAGCCATTTTTAACATCACCTGTACTTCGATCCATAAGCTGTACCAAAAACTTCCTTCCTTTTTGCCATATTGATGGGCTTTTTCCACGTAAGCAAGATGGAAAGTCCTTTGGGGGGAGTTCTTTGGAGGTGTTTAGCTCTGCCCTGGTAAACTGTAGTGTTGTGATATAAAGTTGTGTTTTTTAAATTGAGCTCTTTTGGAGATGGGCCTAGCTGTAGGTTTAAATTTGTTCCTATAATAGCACCACAGTTATGTGGTAAAAAAAGAGAGTGAGATTTGCTTTTACACCAGGAGACTAAAGTTCATACTTATATCAGTATTGCATTTATGTAATAAAGTTTGCAATGATTTTTTAGCACCTGAATGGGGCTGGTGAAGCTAAATTTCACATATACTTTGCATATGAGTTAAAATAAAGCATTTATTTTTAAAACACTTTTCCAGTGCAAACTTCGCATCATCATTAATGGTCTGGGGTAATATATTAATAGGTTTTGTAGTACTGGATGTGTGAGGATACAAACATATTCATCTTCCAAAACAGTGTTTCCATTGATGTTTGTTCTAATGCCCTGTATTCAAGTATGAATCTTTCTAGTAGGTTAAAAAGAGGGGTCAACTAATAATGGATTAATGATGTTTTTAAGTCTGTTTAAAAACACCTGTACCCACACCCCAAAAATAATTTTATTACATTCAGACATATGTCAACAAACGTGGCTTTAAAAATCCAAGTATACTGTCTTTTAACTTCTGCCAGTGCCCCTGAAGGATAATGGTTGAAATCATTTTTGAGGCTGTAAAATGACTCGTGTTATTCGCGTGCTGCTAATGGACTAAGGCTTGTGAATCAATCTAACTTAAATGAACTGACTAAGATATTTACTCTGAAAATTACTACTGCTCATTTGTTGAACTAATATATTTACATCTTAATGCCGTTTCTTGTTGACAAATGAGCACATAAGTATTCCAACATAGCATACTTTTTGGTATATATGTATATCTAAAGAAGTGCCTCTTATGGAATTATGTCCTGTTTTAATTTCTTTTCACACCTTATTCACTCGAGATTTGTGTCTTCCCTTGTTACTTTGATGTAAGAGTGTCTTGAGGCAATTAGTTGTAAGTTCTTCAGAAAGTGGGGAAGTATAAGAATGATGCTCATGCTGTCATAAGGAGGTGCAAGAAAGGAAGCCCTTCTATAGTCCAATTCATGTTAATAACAGCCTTCTCCCTCCCAATATGTTGATAATGCAAAGGATTAGCAGCCATTTCCCTATATTTCAGAAACCTTTAGCTTCTTTAGACCTATTTCTTCAAAAGCTTTGTCACAATGATATTCATTGCCTGAAGTTAAAGACAAGGAGACTGGATATCATAATAAGCATTCTGACTTTGGATATGTACTTCTAAGATGTTCTCCTATATCCATACAAGTCTCCCATAGCTTTTTAGACAATTCGTTCTTCATGACCCTGCCCTTCTTTTCCCATTTATCTTACTTTGAGTGGTCAGTTGTAGGTAGTCTGCAGTTTTTGTGTCTCATTGTGTGAAATAAATAATCTAGCTTTCTGCATTTTGTGTGCTTTATGATTTCTTGATCCTTACGTGTTTACCTTAATACGTCTTTATTGGTCATCTTCTTGAGCCAAGATATACTTAGCCTCTTTAAATAAATATATTTTAAATCCTTCTGTTGTGTTTTATAGTAGCCTGTTTAAGTTCTACATTTTGTACCATAGGACCGAGAATATGCAGTGGAAATGTTTCTAAATGTGTTTTGTTTCCTTATAGATAGGATTAAAATTAGGAAACTTGTCTTAGGGATGTTTTCTGCAGCAGAGGAACACCAGTCTGCTGATGTGTCCCTAATAGTATATGCTGGCATTTTTTGACAGTTTGGACTTGAAAATACAGCAGCTGAAGCAGAAGATATATGAAGGTGATGCAGTTGAAAAAGCTATTGGAGCCATAGAAGAAAGATCACCTCAGCTCAGTTCTCCTTCTGATGTGACAAAATCTCAGTCACATTTTATTCCACTGGTTGATGATAGGTATGTATTCCCATTATATTGTACTGTATAATCTATAATCTAGTTCTACTAAGGTATTTTTAGATGGATGCATTTAATGAAATTACCAAATAAATGCTTTTATTGTAATCAGAGTACTGTATAATGGCACACTTCTCCTGATTTAAAGAGCTTGAAATGTTTCTTACGTACAACTGGATCTTATTTTGCCTTTTAGTTGGAGTAGCTCATGAGCCTAAACTCTTACAACTGAGGCTGCAAAGTTTATAGCATTTTATAATTCTGGTTTCAGATTGCTTGGGGAATCTTTCCAGTGACATGCAATCAAAGGACTATGAAACAGTATTCTAGATGGAGCCAAAATATTTTCTCCATCCCACCAACCTAGAGGTTATTTTTAAGCATTATGAAGACACAGAGAGAAACATACAGTTTCCGTTTTCCTTCTCTTTCTTTTAACCAAATTTCTGCCCTCTTGCAACTATAAGATAATGCTTTCTTTTATTTTTATAAATAAGCAAATTTTACATTGAGGTTATATGTGGCAAGCTATGGTAAAGACTTTCTTGTTGTAATTGACTATAAGAAAAAAATGAATTGATTTTTAGTGGGAGGGTTACACCTGTGACTGTTGTTGGATGTTTTAACATAATGGGGAACTTGTCTATCATCAAAGGATAGGCCTTTCTCTCCATCCCACCCCCTTCACAGGTGTGTTGGATGGGAACAAAGGAAAGAGCCTTCTCTGTACCTGCTCCCAGACTTTGGAACTCCCTCCCACAAGAGGTCAGGCTGACCCTATCTTTGCTGTTTTTCCGCAAGCTGACAAAAACCTTTCTCCTCAGGCAAGCTTTCCCTTAATTGACTGGCTGTCTGAGTGGAGTTTTTAGATGAATTTTTACCTTACTGCTTTGAATGTGTTTTTTGGTGTTGCTTTTGTTTATCATCTTTTAGTGTGTTGCTTGACCAGTTTTAGTATTTGTATACTTATTCTTAGCTTTAAATGTTATCTTTAATCGATATAAGCTGCCTTGGGTCCTTCTTTAAAGGAAAAAGGCAGAGTAAAAATATTTTGATTGAATGAATATTCGCACTTACTAACTGCAGTTCAGTTAAGAGAAAGAAAAACAAGCAATTCTTGTTGTAGTGCAATAATTACTCCTAATTTTTTTAGCCTGACCACGATTCAGAATAGAAAACAACACATTATAAATACAAAACTCTTAGCGAGATTTCTGTCTTATGTCTGCCAAAAAAATATAAAAATTAGTATCTTATTTTCAGAGAAAATATTGTCATTGTTTGTAATATTTATGTTCAAAATAAGTCAGAGGACTGGTGGACCTTTTTCATAACTAAATAATGCTTATTCTTTCTTTTTATTTACAATGTTTAAAAATTTCTAGAATAAATGCCTTTATTGAGGAAGAAGTTCAAAGACGCCTTCAAAACATTCAATATAGTTCTGGTGAGAATGGTAGTGATCTGTTGCATTCTACAGAATTTATAAAGGTGAGATAGTAAAAATGGCTGATACTAACCATGAGTTTATGATCCCTTATGATGGGAAAAACTTTCCTCAAAGTGATACGTTTCTCATAGTATTTTATCATAGCACAGCATCAGAGACAGAAGCCCCTGCTCACTTTTGCACCTGTCTGCATTTAAATGTAAAATTTTAGAACATGTACCCTGCATGCCACTCAGTGGGATTTGATGCTTCTGCATGTAGTTAAGTGTTGAATTTGGGATGGAAGAGAGGGAGAGGGCCTGAGGGGTCATGTAAGTAAGAGGATCACTCTTTACTGAAACCTGAGAAGTATGGTCAAGTTTTGATATGGAACCAAATGACCCTTAGACCTGAGCTGCAGTTTTCATAGGAGACTGCACTGTGGGACTCCTATTTACTATCCTGTCTCACTCTGCAATAGAGGTTTAACACTGAGCTGTCCTAGATATTTGTTTGTATATTCCTCCCTCAGCCCAACCTGTAGTATCAGGATGAAAACAGTAGAAACATTTTGGGCCTTATATGTGAGTTACTGGATAAATGATAGGCTATTTGGGAAGACTGTAGGGATGGGGGCTCAAATGCTGAGTGTTGTCAAGTCCAGCTCAAGCCACCACAGCGACTTGACTCAGACTTGACTTGGGGTTCAAGGGGAACTCGTGACTTGAACCCATTTGTCTAAGTCATGTTATTGAGTCCCTATGGGTCTCCCTATCTCCTACTGCCACCCACCACTGCCACCATCTTCAGAGGCAGCAGGCCTGGCTCCTGGAAGGCAAGCTAGGCTTGCTGCCTCCAACCATGCATGTGCTACTCAATTGTTAGGCCTTCCCTGGGAGTAGCAACTGCCCACACAGCCCATGGTGCACTGGCACAGTTACAAAGTCCACACAATCCCACAGAAGCAATCAAAACAGTCCCCCCAACAAGTAAAAAAATTAAACTTTTGTTCATCCCAAAGTATGAATCATTCATGCTTTCATAAGCATGAATTAATCATACTTTAGGGTTCTTTTTAGACAATCAATGAAAGAATACAAAATATGTGAAAGAGAACCTCTTTCATGTTTTGTGGTCTTTTGTTAAAATATAAAAGGCCTATATTTGCCAGTACCACATATCTGAATTTAAGCTCATTTAGTATCAGATTTTTTAAAAAACTGGATTGGCCTGCTTTACTAGTATTCCAACTAAAATAGGCTATCTGTTGTCTTAATTATTTTATAGAACTTATTTTTAAAAATGAAACATTTTTATCCATGTCTTTGCTTTCCTACCCAGGATAACGAGAAATTTCATAATGGTGCTCTTCAACGCAAGTTGAAGTATGAGGTAAGTTATAGCTTGTCACCTTGAGAAAGTACTAATCTTAAATTATAGCATGCTCTCTAATTAAATTTCTTAACATTTTGCAGCATAATTATATTTCTGTATTCTAGGAAGATTAATGGCCAATGGAAAAGGTTTAAAATTAAGTCTTCCTCCGTGGTAAAGATTTTGGTAGTTGCAATGGTAATAATAGCTTTAAAATAATTTGATACTGCAGCAGTATCCCTTTCAAAGCTCTGTGAAGGTAGAAGCACAATTTGTATTTGGAGGTTACTATTTACAACTCACTGTGAGACGCATCTAAATTCTAGTTGTATTAGAGGTCCAAATTCCAATCATGTTAATGAAATGGCTTTTTCTGTCATTAGACTATAACCTGACAGCCGGGTCAAGTAATGTTCAGTTTTCCAAGTACTTGGGCACAATACAGAAATATTGTATGCAACTGTGATTGATTCAAAGTCTTTAATGATCATCTTTTTAGTCTAGCCAAGACTTTTCTCTGCTCTCTTGTGAAATACAATAAATGTCTAAATAAAAGCTTTTTACAATATTCTGATTACAAAAAATGTTAATTTCTTCTCTGGGAATTGTAGATATAAGATGCAGCCTTTTCATAAGATCAGTAGGAGTTCTATGTTGATTTAGCATTCTGACTTGATTCTCCAGAACATAAGTGAAATGGATGGTATTCTAAATGCAAGGTGATGGCAAATAAAAATTCCAACGTTTCTCTTTGAAACGCACCCCATCTTGTTTAATTAAATTTGGTTTTGATTTTGCTTTTTAGTTATCATTCCACAGCACAACTAAATTCACGTGTAAAAAGTAAATTAGAACTGCTTTCTTGTTAAGTATACGAAGGCTCTTGTATTTTGTTTTGTTTTTGTTTGTTTTGTTAACATTTCAAACAGAAAGGACAGCCCTGGTTGCCTCTTTATGACTTTCTCGGTATCTCTAACGATGACAGCCAATGTCATAAGCTGGTTGGTGAAGATACAAGAATAACAGGCTTCAGTAATCAGGAGGAACATTTAGATAGATTTGATCCCTATTGGAGAACAATTTTGCCCTTGTACGTATCTCAAGAAAATGCAAATAAAAGGAGTTTGCTAGGATGGGAGAATATCAGTTACCTCTGCTATAATGAATGCAAATCAAATCAAGCAAAAGTCACAATGAGCAAAAAAACTTGCTTTAAATATTCCCCAGAAACTCCTCCTCAAATGCATGACGGATGTAAAGTTAGTCTTTTGCTGGATGAAAAAGCAGCACTCAGTCATTCTGGAAATGCAAGCGTAACTACTACTTCTTGGCAATTCCATAGCTCAGATACAGAACTTGATTCTTTTCGTAGCCACTGTGTTCCTCCCTCAGAACTTTCTATTTCTGCTAAACACCAGTCTGCCAGTTGCCTTTCTCTAGCATTCAGAGAATGCTGTGATGATATTTCCGGAATTTGTGAGCAGATCCCAGATGAACAGTTGAATGAAAGGACTACAAATGCCAGCCAAGGACGTTGCCATGACTCACATACACGAGCAAGAGAAAGTTATACTCTGGAACATCTGTTTGGCAAATTCTCCGATATATGCAGTCATACCAATTATCACATATCTAAGAGTAGCTGGTTTTCAAAACCAATCAAAGATCTAGTCAATCTCTGTAAAGAAAGTAAGACATATACACAGGTGGCATCATTTATTAAAAGCTTTCAATCTGCTAAAAAGAAGCAGTTTGATCTGGTTTTAGGTATGCAGATGGCTGCAAGCATCAGTCCAGAAGTTCCTTTGCAGAAAGAAAATGCCATGAAGTTCTTGACTTCAGAAATCTCACTTGATCTGTGTATAGCAGATCACATTGAGGAGTCTAGCAATTCTTTCAGAAACAAAGAACTGAAAATAAGCCATGTGTTTCAACAGAATCTTGTAAACTTCTCAGACGAGCTTCTGAAATTGCAGCAATGTCCTTGGGATGAACTGCTTCAGAATCTGACTTGTGTCTTGCCAGAAATTTGTGCCACACCTGCTGAGTTGAAAGGAATATACTGGATTGCAGTGGGAAACTATAAAAAAACTGGCCCAGAACCTGCATGCTTGCTTTTATTTGGTTCTGTTTTGTATGCCATTCAATCATCAGCTGGTCAACTTGAGGACACTCTGAAAATTTTTCATGTTCTTCCAATGGGTACATTAAGAGAAATCCAAATTGGTTACGCTGGACAGAGCATCCAGCTTCTGTGTTCCAGTGAAGAAAATGGAATGAAACTATTTACCTTTAACAAATACTTCACACAAAGAATATGCCATGACATACTTAGCATTTTGATTTCGTCATCAGATTATGCTGATTTAGATCACCCCCTCCTCAAAGAAGATCTCTTGAAACTTTCGCTAGACTGGAATTCAGCAATCACTGATTTGGTTTTAGACAGTGGTCTGCGCCTCACCTGTGATTTTCAGAATAATTTAGCAGATCTAGTTTACTTGTTCCATGAGAATATGGAAAGCAACAGACCTTCTTTAGGAGAAGTTAAGATACTGCTCTATGCCACAGTGAAAGTAGAGGGTGAAATAAGATCACTAGTCCTTACTAATACTCATATAGGACTTATATGGGAAGATAGTTTCTTTGGCCCAGTTCATGCAGCTTTACATTCCCTTGCTGATCAATCACAATTTGACAGAATTCAGTTGCACTGTTTGAGTGAGCTCAGGCTTGTGGTTGTCCCAGAGAAAGAGAATCTAATGCAAATTGAACTTGTGTTTACTAAGGCAAGTAAGATTGGCTGTGATTTAGCCAGCACGTCATCTTGCCTTTTTCAAAGAGAAAAACAGATTCAGTTGAGTCATGTTTCCTCCTGTTGCCTTGTCCATCCTAGTACCCAATCATGTATCTGGAGACTGACTTTCAGTTCAACTGAAGATGTTCTTAGGCTAATGTTGCATTTGACAGGACAATAAATCTGAATCCTTTAGATTTTTGAAATTTAGGTACAGTAGTTCTAAAATCCAGCACTGTGGGAGGGGAGAATACAGATAAGTCAAATATATTTGTTTGTCTTACCTGAAAGTATCTTTCATGAGACATATAATAGGTTTTAAAAAGCAAGATTGCATTCTGAAGAAAACTTCCTTAGCAGAATTTAAATTCATAGTTCTTTTTTACTATATCCAAGATTAACTGAGAATTATTTTTAACTGTTAGTGTCAAGATTCAATTTAAAGTATTTAAACTGTACAGTAGGAGAGGAGGAGAGACAGCTCTTTATATGCTGATTAGCATTCTCAGGCTTGCAGCTCTTCATATTAAAATAGCTGCATACACTGCATTTGTATGCAGGTATATTGGATAGTTTGAATTCAAAACACTTCTATATTTGGGAAGCTAGCTTTAGTTTTGGAATATGTTGGCAGTTTGGTGTTAATTGGGATCGAGATAAGTACCGACCAAAAAAGATTGCTACCACATCTTAAATATGAACATATTCATTGTAGCATAAGCTTTCTTGGACACTGGGACAAGGATATCATGGACAAGATAGGCTACCACCGACAGACCCAAATGTATGTTTGTCCCTATGCTCTGTTTAAGGAAGGTCATTTGAAAGGGGTAATTTCCCTGCAGGAAGAATTACTGAGCAGTGATTTCCTCTTCTCGTTCTGATTTCTTTATCATGAATAAAATTCTTGTTCCTTTCCCATTATTTGGTGCATGATCTTTCATTCAGATTTCCAGGATCTTCTTTGTTGTATGCTGTTAATTTGCAGATTACTTGCATCTTAGTTTGTTTCATAAGGTATGTGTTCTGTATTCCAATGTATCTACTGAGATAAAAAAATTTGATCAGCATTTTGGATACTGTTATGTTTGTGGACTGAAGCTGAGGCTCCAATACTTTGGCCATCTCATGAGAAGAGAAGACTCCTTGGAAAAGACCCTGATTTTGGGAAAGTGTGAAGGCAAGAGGAGAAGGGGACAACAGAGGATGAGATGGTTGGACAGTGTCATTGAAGATACCAACATGAATCTGACCAAACTGCGGGAGGGCCTGGCGTGCTCTGGTCCATGGGGTCACGAAGAGTCAGACACGACTTAACAACTAAACAACAACATGTTTGTGGATGTTACCACCTTTTTACCTGTAAGGTACTTTAAAAATCATTTGATTGGGCAGCAGGATTCAGATTCTCTAAATAAATGAATAAATGTGGAGAAGCATAAAATTAATTTATGTACTGACATCTAAAAAATATCTCATATTTTTATTTATAAACCTGGTATTAAACAATCATTTGATAAATCATAGTTATAATATTGATAATGGATTTAAGAGGGCATTGAGTCAGTTTGATTGAGAAAATTGCATATGGTTGCAGTACAATGCACAATTCTTGAAGGAAATCTTTGTTCTGTAATCTTTACTTAAAGCTGGGGGGAGGGGCTATCAGTTCACAATGACTGAATTCTTCCATAAACACTGCTTCTGTTCAGATCAGTGTATCACTTTACATCGTCAGTAATAACTTCCAAGCAACATAAGGTCTTAACCTAGACATGTGAAGGGACTTGTTATGTGTGAAGATGGAAAAGTGGAGGGGGGTGTTTGTGTTTTTTTCCAGCTGACATATCCTACTTAAGCCTTTCAGATGTTTTACGTTAGCTGTTTGGTCCAAAGACACAATTTGAGAGATTGCTGCACATACAGTATTGTTCATCCAATATAGGACCGAGGCATTCTTACAAGACAACATCTGTCTACCTATTTTCCTCACATTCTTTATCATGCCATGCACATACCCAGCTACTTCCTTCTTTGTCACCATCCCAAAATCAAGAAATGAATAAATACATATAAGACTCAAAATGTTTCTGAAGTCCACTGACTTACCAGTGGTAATTCAGAGCCGGGACTTACATGCCTATCAAATATCTCATTTTAGTTAGAAGAATAAACCTGCATTATACCATGGCCAATAATTACATACTGTATACTTGCAGCCTTTTCCTTTGGATGTGAATTCCCTACTAAGCCCATGTAGTTTCTCCCAAAGCAAGTAAACATAGGACTGCATGGTGACTACTCGCCTCACACCAACCTGCCCCTTTTTTGGAAACTGTAATTTGAGGCTCTGTTCTGCTTTTGCCCACCTTTAGACAGTTGGGAGAGGGTTTAGAGAAAGCACCTTTTCTGTATTTGCAAGAAATACTCACATGATCCATTCATGGCAGCAAAGCTCTGGATTAAACAAAATCTTTGCTGGAACATTAAAAAATTAAAATAAGGTGAGTTTTTGAGTTCTACAAAAATTTTCATCTGGGAAAGATAATGTGATAATATCAGCCAGAATAGGGCAGTTGTCAGATCTGCCAGGAACTGGGTCAGGCCTTTATTTTCAGTGATTGGGGGGGCTGTAATTTGATGCCTCTATTACCACTGTCTCAGGCAGAATCTAAATTTTCATTTTCTTGTAGTCTCACTACTTGACCATGACCATCATATCTACTCCAATTTTTTGACCTTCTATTCAAACCCACGTTTTAAACCATTTTAGCCTGACCTTATTTGTAACCATTTAGCTGCTAAGCTATTGCCTAATCCAACATTTTGGTGACATGCTGTTGATGAAATTTCTCTGAGGGAAAAGGAAATTCATATATGAACTGAGAAAATTGATGAATGTGATTCAACTCTTAGTGTTAATTATAACCAGGATGTTTTCCGTGAGTGTCCCACTTCTAGAATGTGTTTCCTATAAAGGAACTTTGTATCATAAAGCAGAAATCAAAATTTAACTTTATTCCCTCCTTGCAGTTCTTCAAGAATCAGTTCTTTAACGTGGTTCTCTATGAATCCACACTGATGGGTTAAACAGCGCCTGCGCTGGTTCCTCTCGGAATTTTCCAGAGCTATGGGGAAAAGATACAAAGTTTAGGTTGCCCTATACTGCACACACTCAGCCTGCCAAAATCCCAGTTCCATTTATCCGCCCGCGGAGTTGGAACCTCTCTGATAGAGCTCCTGAAATTTTTTGAATTTTTTTGAATTTTTCCAGCTTGACTTGGCTCCGTTTATCGTCCTTCTATACTCCGTTGCCCTGAACTCGGATCGGTTGACCTCTCTTTGCCTCAGGCGGCTAATAGCAAGTACTTTCGCTTCCCACTTTCATTCTACTTGAGGCCTATTACCTCCTGCTGAGGCACCACACGCCTCTCGGACTCATTCAGTTATTCAGTTTTCCCTACCGCTCGCTTATGTCAGCGAAAAAAGGTCCCTTCAGCTGCTGTTCCACCTGTTCCAGAAAGCTCCCCTTTCAGGACCACCACTCACTTTGCCTTTTTTGTCTGGGTGAGGCCCATTCTCCCGCCCATTGCAGACACTGCAAAGAATTTACGAAGGCGACCCTCAAATCCCGCCAGCAGCGTCTTAAGTATTTCTTGTGGAATAAAACTTTGTCTGCCTCCCAACCATCGGACATGGAATCTGTTCAGTTGGTCTCCACCGTCCGTTCAGAAGTTACAGTAGTCTCTTCTTCCCCTCCACAATCGATCAAGGAGGCTCCCAAGAAATCAAAGGGAAAATCGAAGAAGCAATCGGCTGGGAACAAGTCTTCGTCAGATGTTTCGGCCCCCTCAACATCGGGTCCGAAGCAAAAGTCGGCCCCGGCGCCCTCTTCGAAGAAACCGAAAGCCAAGGAGATCACACTGGTCGTCCCCCCATCTCGACGTCAGTGCCTTCTCCTTTCCTGGAAGATTCATCTCGGGATCGTGATCGGTCTCCGATGTAGGCACCTCCATTCCACCTCGTCAAGATCCACCGGTGGATTTGGGAAGGTCGCCGACGGTTAGCCAGCTCGACAAAGTCGTTGCCGGCGCCGGAAATATACCATTGAGCCTGATACTCAACGGGCGAACAACCCGATCTCCATCGATCCTCTCAGAGTCGGGCCCTTCTAGGTCTCCACCCCCTCCACGGGGCCGACCTACGAAGCCAATTGAGGATTACATCCCTTGACGTCCCGCTCCTGATTCGGCCGAGGACGATCGCCCGGCCAAGAAGCGTCGCCGCCACAGGAAACATCGACGCGGACACCGATGGAAGTGCCTCCTCACCGTCCGACTCAGACGACAGTCGAGAACGGAAGAGGTCCCACCGGAGACGGCAAAGGAGAGATTCCTCTACGGAGTCCTCTTCGACGTCGACTGAGAGGAGGCATAGAAGGAAAAGGTTGAAATATTCCTATTCCTCATCTTCTCACTCGCGTTCTCCACGCCGAAGCCCGCCTCCTAAAAGACCTGCGGACATGGGCCCCGATAAGCCCACGCGCCGAGGAGTGTCCCTACTTTGCCGTCGGCACCTCCTCGACAACTGGATGAGGCGCCTATATCACATCCAAAGCAGCCTCCTTCGGCACCGAACCCCCCTCATCCTCCACCCTTACCCAACCAGTCGGAGGATGAGCAACCACGGGAAGACTCTTCGGAAGGGGATGAAGGAGACGAGTCGGAGGTCTCCCTGGATGTACCAGTCCCTGGGGAACCTTTACCCCCAGAAGCGGCTAATTTAAAGCCTTCTTCCCCTTCAGAGGATTTCTCCTCTTATTCACAGATGGTCGCTCGTATGGCACAGGCACTTAAGCTAGCCATAGAACAATCTCCACATAAAGAGGAGAACTTGATTTTTGGTGACATTGAAGCAGAGAGATCTCATCCAGTCAGCCTCTCCTTCATCCCAGAACTGATGGATCTTATAAAAGAATTCTGGGAACATCCTGCTAACGCCACCACTATTTCCAAGCGGACTGAGAACCTTTACAGGATCCACGGCAATGACACTTCCTTTTTGGTGATGCACCCAGCACCCAACTCTCTCATAGTGGAGTCTAGCTCTTCTAAGGCTCCAGCTAAGGGCCACCCTACGCCTACTAATAAAGAAGGAAGGAAACTCGAGATTTTAGCACGCCGCATGTATTCCATGACCACCTTTGTTCTGCGTGCAGTTAATTATCTGGTGGCCATGGGTGCTTACCAGAAACAACTCTGGTCTAGAGTTCTTCCAGCTTTGGAGGCAGCCCCAGATGACATTAGACAACTCTGCTTAAACACTCATGCAGAGGCCCTTACTGTTTCCAAGTACCAACGGCTTGCTTCTCGCCATGTTGCTGAAGCCACTTCTAAGAACTTTGCAAACATCATTACTTTGAGGCGACACGCTTGGCTCCGCTCAGCTAACATCGTGGAAGATATTAAATCTAGAGTGGAGAACTTACCATTTGATGCGTCCGGTCTCTTCAGTCAGAATACTGATGAAAACCTGGAAAATCTGCACAAGAGCAAGAAAACAGCAAAATCATATTCTGTGCAGACTCAACCTAGACAATCTAAGTTCCAGTGGCGTTCTAAGTATGCTACTCAAACTTACCAACAACCATCTGCCAGTACTTACCGTCCTTATGCAGGGCCATCCTCTCATCGTCCTCCTCAAACCTCTTCTTCGTCCGCTGTCTTCAAACCTCAGTCAGCCCAGAAGAAGCGACCCTTCAAAACATCTGCAAAGAAACAAAAACAGTACCTTTGACTTTCCGGCAGATCTGTTTCCCTTTCCCCACACCTCACGCCTCTCCCCTTACCTTCACAGCTGGACTCTCATAACCAGCAACATCTGGGTTCTGAATATTATCACATCCGGCTACCGCCTGGAGTTTACAAGATTGCCTCCTCTGGGGCAGGTCAGCCCTACATCATTCGACCCTCTCTTAGAGGAGGAGATCTTCACCCTGCTTCAGAAGGGAGCCATTCAAGTGGTACCATCGACAGATATCCTCAACGGCTTCTACTCCCGATACTTCCTA